AAAAGTTTGGAGTTAGAGAACATCGATAAGGCACCATCATTGGCTTGACTTGACGCTTGTTATCTATATCCGGAAACAAAAGGATTCATAATGGCTATTCAGGACAGAGTTATGAGAACACGAAATTATGAGAAACACTGCTTGAAACTAGAGGTCGAAGACAGATGCAGAAAATGCGGATCAGTGGATGAAACTATCGAACACATAATAGCAGGATGTCGGTACCTAGCAGACAACGCATACCTAGGATGTCACAACCAAGTTGCCAAGATCATCCACCAACAACCGTCTTCTGAGCTCATGCCCACCTTAGTATAAATATCAGCCCGCAGCTGTTCTGAAATCAACAGAAAAGGTGCTGTATTGGAATAGTCCGATAACAACGGACAGGACAGTCGACTACAATAGACCAGATATCGTTATTATCGATAAAAAAAGAAAACAGGATTGATCATCGATATAGCTGTACCACTGTCATACAACGAAAACCGAGACCGAGAAGATCAAGAAATATGAAAATATGAATTAAAGAACATCTGGAAACTAGACTCAATTCGTCGCGATATTTTTTTTTTATGTATGTTCAGCGATAATTCTTTACCATGGTGTCCGATTTCAATGATTCTTTTTTTGTTAGAAAGGGGGTACTTCTGGGGTGGTCCCGTATAAATTTGGTCAAAATCTAATAATTGAGCCTATGAGAAATTTCTCAAACTCTTCATTTTTTGTGTATGTTTAGCGATAATGCTTTACCACCTTGTCCTATTTATATGATTCTTTTTTTGTTAGTAAGGGGGTACCTTAGGGGTGGCCACATATAAATTTGGAGAAGATGTAATGGCATCTGCACGTTTTTGAAGTCGGTTTTTAATTTAGATCACTTGTAATCAACCGCTTCTGCTTCCAGAATTGTCGGTTTAGTCGTTTTAACCTGTCAGATTAAAACAAGAAAACCGACAATTCCGAAGCAGAAGCGGATGATTAAAACGCACCTATTAACAATATTGCGCCAAGATGTAGGCAACACGTAATAAGGGCTCAAAATGGCGGAGTTTTCTATCTCCTTTTAAAAGGCACTCAAAAAGCTGCGCAGTGCGACCATTCTCCGTATAGTAAAAGAAAATCAAAGTATGTGATTCCTCTTGTCAAAAAAGTATTAGGATTCTACATTTAAGGTAGTTCACTCGTAAAACAGCTTTTCTTAAGGATTCAATAAAATTGAAATATAAGGTAAATAAAAGTGTCTTTTACGCAACTAAAAAAAATGAAATTTTTTGACCGTCTGTGAAATAAGATATTATCAATCAAAATGTGCATAACTAACACTCTTGAAGCAATGCATTTATTTTAAGATATCTCGAAAACGGTTCATACTATATTTTTTAAAAACTAATGTATTGTAAATCAAGAAGTTATAAAAGTTTCTAAAAAAACGCTGAATTTTTTGATCGTCTTTGTAAAAAGATATAGATTTTTAAAATAAAAATATTTTTAAAGCAGTCGACGCGTAGTTGCGTACAATGATTACAACTTGGCAACATTGTAATCGCTACACTTAACGCGCTAAGCACTGAACTATATATTAAACTGGAAGAACAAAGCCGATCAACAAAATCAAGCCACATAGCGAGGTGATATTTGACACTTTGGCGCCCATATGTGCGCATCGAAATGCACTAAAAAGGATTATTAAAATTAAATTTAACACTCATTACATTCAACTATGACACCTTTTAATTTAAGAAAATCACTTAAAAATGATTTTTGATTAATATTAAAGAGTGATAGCATAGAAGGAAGAAGTTTATGTATAAAAACCGACAATTCCGAAGCAGAAGCGGATGATTAAAACGCACCTATTAACAATATTGCGCCAAGATGTAGGCAACACGTAATAAGGGCTCAAAATGGCGAAGTTTTCTATCTCCTTTTAAAAGACACTCAAAAAGCTGCGCAGTGCGACCATTCTCCGTATAGTAAAAGAAAATCAAAGTATGTGATTCCTCTTGTCAAAAAAGTATTAGTATTCTACATTTAAGGTAGTTCACTCGTAAAACGGCTTTTCTTAAGGATTCAATAAAATTGAAATATAAGGTTAATAAAAGTGTCTTTTACGCAACTCAAAAAAAAATTAAATTTTTTGACCGTCTGTGAAATAAGATATTATCAATCAAAATGTGCATAACTAACACTCTTGAAGCAATGCATTTATTTTAAGATATCTCGAAAACGGTTAATACTATATTTTTTAAAAACTAATGTATTGTAAATCAAGAAGTTATAAAATTTTCTAAAAAAAACGCTGAATTTTTTGATCGTCTTTGTAAAAAGATATAGATTTTTAAAATAAAAATATTTTTAAAGCAGTCGACGCGTAGTTGCGTACAATGATTACAACTTGGCAACATTGTAATCGCTACACTTAACGCGCGGTAAGCACTGAACTATATATTAAACTGGAAGAACAAAGCCGATCAACAAAATCAAGCCGCATAGCGAGGTGATATTTGACACTTTGCCGCCCATATGTGCGTATCGAAATGCACTAAAAAGGATTATTAAAATTAAATTTAACACTTATTACATTCAACTATGACATCTTTTAATTTAAGAAAATCACTTAAAAATGATTTTTGATTAATATTAAAGAGCATAGAAGGAAGAAGTTTATGTATAAAAATCCCTTTGGAATTAACTAAGGATTTAACGCGACTCTTGATAGATATTGTAAATAGCATGTGTAACGATTGAAACCGTTATTTCGACACAACCACCTTTCACTTCTACTTTAATGTCATTTATCGTTTATGCCTTGTGTCAAAAGTTCATATTTCACTTGATTCGAATATATCAACCAGATCAGATTCATTTCAAAATATCTGGGTCATCCGATTTGCTAAATAATTTTTATCTATCGTATATTCTGTCTGATTTTGTAAGGTAAGGTTTAATACCAATATATTGTTGAAAATATATATTTTGTATAAAGATTTCTTAATTAAAATGTCAAGTTCCGACATATCCTCAAAATCAACAATGAATAACACACATGTATAACACGTTTTATATAATTTTATATATTATTTTGTTTGGATTAAGATATTATGCTTTACTATGTTTATATTTGTTTAATAAGATTTTTCCTTTTCATATTAATTTTAGTCTCTGTGAAATTATTCACTTAATAGTTTTAAATTGTTCATTTATTAGTTAAATGCATTTTATCTGGGTCCCTGTGCAAATTTCCTATTTCCTTTCTTAACATTTTCCTTTTAGCATGGCTATATCTAGACGGTTTATTTCGAGTTATATCTAAAACAGTTTATGGAGATTTGCATCTAAAGGGTTTATATCAAGAAGTTTATGGAGATTTATACCTAAGAGATTGGTGCAATCTGAAGACCGAGGTTTGGTTCACCTTTAGAAGATCGACACAATATCGTTCAAGTCCAGAATTAAGAATAAGGATCCAGAATCCCTTAGAAGAAGGCCTAGAATTCCATGCAAATACTAATGTTACAACAGATAAGTGTTTATTTAAATAAATCATCTAAATTTGAATTCAGTGAATCTCTGTGAGTTAGAATGTGTTACTACCTTATCTAAAACTTGGTTTAAATATAATTTGTTGATGGTTAGTGATTTTCTATATTTTTATCACTAATCTAAAGTCAAGTATAGTAAGTTTTAAATATAGTGGTGCCCAACTTCTTTTTCAAGATAATTCGAGTTATTTAATAACCTGATTCACTCCCAAAATCAGTTGAGCTTAAAACACTATAACAAATAGATAAAATATCAAGTACCACGTTACACATGTTATAACACCTCCAAGAAGAGTATTAGCAGGATGTTTTCGTGACATATTTTACCCCTGGGGTAGAATTCTTGAGTCTCGCATGAAAATTGTCGCACACGGCAAATGTCGCATACCAAATTCGCATGGTTGTTAAAAATCGCATTCTCAAAAATGAATGAATCTAAAATCACAAGCGAGAAATAATGCGAAGGATTGTATGTGGCAACGTAGGAAATTATTTCAACTGTCAACATTAGTGGGTGTTCTGTATTCTGTTTATTTAATAGAACCCCTCTATGCTAAGAAGTTTAGACAATTTTGAAGCAAATAGCAGAATTTTTTTAAACTGCGATTTTTTTTATATATAAATATGGAAGAGCACAATGCAAATTAGGAAACGAAATATTAAAATATGTCACGAAAACATCCTGCTGATACTCTACTTGGAGGCGTTATAACATGCTGGTTGCAATATTTTTCAGAGTCGCGTTGATTCCTTAAAAAGTCGAAAATGCTTGATGAATAACTCTATAACACATCGTTAATTCCAAATGGATTTTTATAAATAAACTTCTTCCTTCTATGCTGTCACTCTTTAATAATGTTTTGATTTTCAACAGAAACCAAATGTTATTTTAATCAAAAGCTGCCTCATCCATGTTTACGGTCCACATAGTCGCATACGAATTTAAATTCGAGCACTTTAGACCACTCTTGTTGAATTCACCTGATATTTGTCGTATTCTGTTTTCGAGAATACAATTTTTTTAAATCACCTAGTTGCTATTCGACATTTCACTATTCTCGCATTCGACATTCGAGAATACTACCCCTGTGGTAAGCTAAGCTAAGAGGTTGTTATAACTTCGCGACCTGTTCTTGAAACAATATGAATAAAAATGAAGTAAATGCTCATAAGCATAAGACAGAAGGAAAAACAAATACTGAGAGCGGAAGGAAGGAGTAAAAGCAATTACTTCATTTAATATGAATAACAATTACCTTATACTTGAAAGCAAATGCTTTATAAAAACGAGTAAAAACTCATATCTAAAATATTGGAGATTCTTTGGCTTAAATAGTGAATTCGGTAGTATTTACATTCGAAATATAAATATATAACAAAATTTTGCGTGTTTAGACCTGCATTTTACGCACTTGCAGCGGGCTGCTATACATATACTGTTATTCAGTGTTCAAAATGTCTTCATCCGAAGATGATGTTGCGCGTGAAAGTAATAGTAACGTATTTCAAATCAAATCAGAGATCCTTAGTAAGTCGCAGATTCCCGCGTTTAAAAAAAAAGAAAGAAGACGCCATAAAAAAATCCTTATATCATATGGAAGCTAATCACCGCGAAACAACTAATGAAAAAAATTAATAATATGAAGGCCAGTTTAAAACAGAAGACGGATGTAAAGAAAGCGGGTATTAAATCTATCTATCTTCTCCTATAGGGAAAAAGGTTTATACAAGGCCACGGAAGGAGATTCAAATCCAACCATTGTGAAAATAGCAGGTAAGGTTCATCTTCGGTTGTGCTCTATTCAGGTCTAATTAATTAATTTTTTTATGTCAGGAACCAAATCATACGGCACATCATCTCCGAATACATCATTTGGAGACACAGTCACTGCGTCCGATTTCAATGCGACTAAAATGACACTAACTTACACTGACGTGGATCAATTTAAAAAAATAGCTATGGCTGCTACCCCTTTGCCGCTATCTCCACGTCGAAAACGAGCAACAACAGACGAAACAGAGGAAAATGAAAAGTTGTCCAAGCTAGAGCTGCAACGGTTAGTTTTGCCAGAGCAGCTACAGACCACCCGAGTCCAAAGTAAGTATTATGAAAGGAAAATAAAAATGGATGCTGTGCAAATAGTACACGAATATGGACGTACATATGTGAACATGTGAAGATTTAGCCGATTAAGAACACTGGGGGTTTTCTTATTGTGAATAACCGTGAAAATTACTTAGCAGGAGGATTACAAAATAAGTGCAGTGACCCTTCTAAACTGCGCATTAGAATGATCAAGAGAGCTATTTTTTTATTTTTAATTCGGATTTTTGCTATGGATAAGTGACTTTGAGGTACTATTCTGTATAAATTTGGTTAAAATTAACCCTGGGTTATAAAAATAACCGAATGTTATTTTTAATTTTGTATTCTGTATTATTTGGTTGAAATTATACCTTATGTCAATAATAAATCTAATAATCATTATATGTCAAAGACATACTTTTTCTTATTTTTAATGCTAATTTGGACTTAATTTCAATTCACTTTTAGGTATATTACCCGAGAATACCGATCAAGGAGAAGCGACAGTAGCTGTCGGTGCCTTTGATATCGGATGTATCTTTTTCACAGCATGACTTTGATTGATACACAACTTAGCACGCTGAGGAAACATGATTATTTTCTACACTGAGCAAAATAGTTTGGCAAATTATCTGAAATTATTGTTATAGTCCATGCGCAAATGTTGCAATGTGATTTAATTACATTGAAGTAGTTAGGGTTAATAGCAATGGTGAAATTTCGGCACCAAAATATAATTCATTATGTAATAATTAATTATTTGTTATAAAAGTAAAAGAAGTTTATTATTTTATAATTTATCTATAAAATTTGTTCAATATTTGGTTTATTTATTGTTAAAAATGTAATAAAAGCCCCACATTTAAATTACCTTTTCCTTAAGTAAAAATAAAGTAAATAAAATTAAGAGTGCCAAAAAAATTTAGGTAACAATTAAAAAGACATTAAGTTTGAGAGGTTTAACTAAATATTTGCAATGTGCATATATGTTCAAAGCTTTTAGGTTTAAAAAGTACTTACATATTTTTAGAATTTCTAGATTTATATTTTATTAAAAGGACTTTCAAGTTTATCACTCATTTCTGTAGAAACAAGTGGTTTTTTCGAGAGAAGTTAAACCAGATGTCATTTAAGGTTTATGTATTTAGAGTTAAATACCTGGCCTGGCTATCACCCAGACAATACAAATATGTCCATTGGACTCCATTCGATATACAATTTTGGATGTCTAGACGTCCAAAAATGAGTTTTCTGGACTTCGGACATCCAATGGACGTCCAGTGAAGTATACAAATGGTACACTTTTGACCATTCAGAGGACGTTCAATTCTAGAATATATTTGTACGTCGAATACTGGACATTCAAAAAAGTCCAGGATTATATTTCCATTGAGACCACATCCCCACTTTTTTTACAGAACCGCAACTCACCACACACTATTTTATATTATTAATAATTTGTTTATTATTTTCGCAAATCGCTATACACCATTTATTTATTTTTTATTAAAAATCGCTTGACCTGAGCAGGAATCGAACTCATGACACATCCATTATCGCTAGACGAGCTCGACCAAGGAAGCACTTAAAAACTTTTTACTAGATACAGTTATAATTGAATAAGATTTCAAACTTCCGCTGATAGAATGAAATGCAATAGATTCAATTTGTCAATTTTTAATGACCAGTTATATTAAAAAAAAAGAAGTATATATAAATGGGTATTATCTGGTAGGCTTAATAAATAATGACCTAAGATGGACGTCTACTGGACGTCGAAATACTACTAAACTTAAAATTAAGTTCAAAAACAGACGTTCTCTGGGTAATAATATTGAGCTGTCAATTTAATTAGTATTAAGGGACGTACACTGGATGCCCGGATATGGACGTCCTGACCCTCAAATAGATCTAAAGTGGATGTCCATTGGACTATGTGTGCATAGACGAATTTTTAGAAATAGTACTTATTTAAGTATACACCAATATTTCCAAAATCAACGTATGATTCATTCAATAAATGTAAATATGAATGCGCAAAACATCTTTATATTGATATAATTGTAACTAACAATTTAGCCTTAATAAAGGGATTTCTCCCACTTTGACCAATCCTAATTGAAACACGTGAATTTATTATATTTTTTTAAATATAATTTCAAAATAAAATAAACAAAATCTGCAGTTTATTGTTTATTAAATTTATTGAAAAGAAGAAAAACTATTATTTCACAAAATACAATACCTACATATGAAAAATAAAATGTCAAAAATGATTAAATCATTATACTTAATATTTATGCATGTGATAAAAATCTTAGTTTCCTAATAACTTTTTGGACACATTTTATATCTGTATTAGAATACCTAAGTGTGTAAAAATCTTCATCTTATTACTACAGAAAACAAACACCAAAAAATATCACTTAACATTGCTCACGTACTAAACACAACTTGGACTGACTTTGACAGATAACATAATTTTGAGTGATACACACACATACTTTGATTTTCTTTTACTATACGGAGAATGGTCGCACTGCGCAGCTTTCTGAGTGCCTTTTAAAAGGAGATAGAAAACTCCGCCATTTTGAACCCTTATTACGTGTTGCCTACATCTTGGCGCAATATTTTTAATAGGTGCGTTTTAATCATCCGCTTCTGCTTCGGAATTGTCAATTTTCTTGTTTTAATCTGACAGATTAAAACGACTAAACCGACAATTCCGGAAGCAGAAGCGGATGATTAAAACGCACCTGATATTTTGCTTGCTGCTGTCAGTGTCAGTGAATATTATTTTTGAAGTCACAGTTTATTGCTAAAGAATCAGTTAGCTCTCTCGGACCAGTTGAAAGTTCCAAAATAACATCCACTCCAGGGATACAAATTCAGGATACGCAGAAGACTGCTGTTTTATTATAGGCGGTTGTCATATATTGTATTATCCGAGTTGCACAGTGTATAAACTGAAACATTGAGATCCAAAGTGCCGACGCAGAGTGAGCGATCTGATTCTTTAGCTGTAAACTGTGTCACAGGGTTCAAAATGGCCGCGCCCTATGTTGGGCGTGTCGGACCTCTCTCTTGCCTCGTATAGTAATCAAAGTATGTGGATACACAACTTATTTTCGCACATGCGCGTTACAAAACGGTACACTGAAAACACCAAGCTGTCGCTTCTCCTTGATCGGTATTCTCGGATATTACATCGTTGTCATTGTTACAGATTTATTTTATTTTTTCTGTTTAATTTGAATACTCTGTATGTTGTTTTTGGTTGACTGAATTGTAAAAAAAATATATGAAAGTCAGTGTCAAATAAAAAATTCAGATTTGATATCTCTATTATTTTTGGTTATTCGACCCGAGATTTATACATTTTATTCTAGGTAAGACCACAAGAACATTGGTCCTTCGAGTAAATAGCACCAACTATGGAACTAAGAAGCGGTGCAAAATCTACATCAAAGCAACTGGACAATCAAACTTTGCATGCAGACAGCAGCTATCATGATTACAGTAACCGAGATGTGTTGCCCAGGCCATCAGCTTCTCATACAGACAGTAAAAGGAGTAGTGTAACCGTGAGATCAAAGACCAGCAAGACTATACTATACTATAGAATTGGAAGCAAGAATAAAGAAGGCTGAAATAGAACAAGAAATTATTAAGAAACAACAGGAAGAAAAAGTTCTTAAGAAACAACAAGAACAAGAAATTCTAAAGAAACAACAGGAACTGTTGGATCTACAATTAGCATTAAGATTATCTCGACTGGAAGAAGTGGATTCAGAGTCACAAGAAAATAACGGCAAGTCAAGAGAGTCAGTGGTAAGTGAACATCCTAATATTAATAAATGGAATTTAGATAATCCCTTTAAACCCAAGATTACTCACCAACCTCATATTTCTCAGGATTCAATTAAAATTAACGATGAGTCAAGTGATCGTGTAACTAAACTACTTTCAAGGCAGAGTATTGCAAAAGATTTACCTATTTTTAGCGGCGATCCTATCGAATGGCCTAATTTTATATATCAGTTTAAAAATTCAACTAAAATTTGTGGATTTTCCAATGCTGAAAATCAATGTAGGCTTCAGAAATGTTTAAAAGGAAACGCATAGAAAATAGTACAGTCTATGTTAATTTTGCCACAGAATGTAGACAAACGTTTTGGTCGTCCGGAACATATAATTTTGTTGCTACTTGATCAAATTATAAAATTATTCAATGTTAGAGAAGACAAATTAGACATGCTTGTTAAATTTTCTGATGAGGTAAAAAATTTGGTAGCTACGATTGAAGCTTTAGAAGAAGAAGACCATTTGAGAATTCTCATTTTGTTGCGTTAATTAATGAATAAGCTCCCAAATTCCTACAAACTTGCTTGGGTAGAACATAGTTCTAATATTCCAAAACCATGCATCAAGTTAGTTGAGTTTTCTTTATGGTTAGACCGTAAAGCAGACGCTGCATGTGAAATTTAACTTCCTATTTATGAAAGAAATTTTAACTCTGACAATGTTAAAACTAATACCAAGGATTCCAATTTAAAATTTAGATGTTGCCAAGATACTCATTATTTAAATTTATGCCTTTTCAGTAGACGATAGATGGAACTTTGTTTCAACACATAAATTGTGTTTTTCTTGCTTGTTTCCATTTCATAATACTAAAATTTTGTAAATGAAGAAAAATGTGATGGCTGCAAACGTTATCATAATCGACTTTTACATCCAAATTCTGTTTAAAATAACCAAAACAGTCCTAGTGGCAGTTTTCAAACTACTTCTAATCCAGTAGTTGTTGAAAATAATTGTCACATTTTAAATAATAATAATAAAGTTTTGTTAAAGATTTTACCCGTTACCATTTTTAATGGACATATTTCATCAAATACTTAGGCTTTGTTAGACGATGCATCAACTGTGACTTTAATCGAAGCAGAACTAGCTGACAAACTGCAAATTGAGGGACCGCAACAATCACTATATCTACAGTGGACAAGTAG